TAAAATAAAAATTTTAAAAATTTAAATATGATTTCTGGGACTGAGAATGTGGCTTGGTGGTAGAGTACTTGCCTAGCATACATGAGGCTCTGGGTTTGATCCCTAGTACCACAGAATATTTTTAAAATAATAAAAATAAATATGATATTTTGGAGGTCTGGAGATGTAGCACAGTACCTGCCTGGTATGCACAAGGTCCTGGGTTAAATGCCCAGTGCCACCCGTGGGAATAGTGGAGCGGGGCCCCTTTGGAAAGGGTGAGAAGGGCAATGGGATGGTGTCTCCCTCCAGGGTCAAGTGGACCAGTGATGAGGTGAGCCAGGAAGGTGCTCGGCCCAGAGCTGGGAGCACAGGACGCTCGGGAAATCCTGGCCTGCGATGCTGTTCCTTGCACCCCTTTTAGGGCAGGGCTTCTGCTGTGACACCTGGCTCATTTCCTGTTTCTCCCCGCCCCCCCATTTTTCCCTCTAGTTTAAGAGAAGTTAAGCCACTCAGCCCCCTCCATGACGGACTTGGGTTATGTGTTTTTGAAATCTCAGTGTTATTATAAGTCTACTTGCTCTGTGAGCTAGAGAAACACTTTTCACCTCTCTGAGCCTGGGCATTCTGTTGAAGAGACAGCTCCAGAGTCCAGCCTCCCACGGCTGGCTCCTGCTGTCCGATGCCAGTGCCCACTGGGAACGGAGGCGTGCTGAGGGTGATAGTGCAGACGGGTGGCGTGGGGGTTCCAGTAGGAGCTGACCCCTCTTCCCCTGCCCAGGACAAAGCTGGTGCTGGAGAACCTGGAGGATGCCTGTGTCCTGACGGGGCCTGATGACCAGCTGTGGGACAAACAGGCGTGCCCAGCCTACGTGGGACCTGAGATCCTCAGCTCGAGAGCATCCTACTCTGGCAGGGCAGCGGACGTCTGGAGCCTGGGCGTGGCTCTCTTCACCATGCTGGCTGGCCACTACCCCTTCCAGGACTCGGAGCCCACCCTGCTCTTTGGCAAGATCCGGCGAGGTGCCTTTGCCCTGCCGGCCGGCCTCTCAGCCCTGGCCCGCTGCCTGGTCAGCTGCCTCCTGCGGCGGGAGCCAGCGGAGAGGCTTACAGCCACCGGCATCCTGCTGCACCCCTGGCTGCAGGGGGACCCAGTCCCCTTCACTCTGTCCCAGTCCCACCTTGGGGAGGCTGACCAGGTGGTCCCTGATGGGCCGGGTCTAGAGGAGGCCGAGGGGGAGGTGGGTCTGTACAGCTAGGCCACCCTGCTAGATGCCCAGCTGCGAACCGTGGGCTGAGTCTGAGGTCTCCAAGTTTTCTCCTGCCTCTTTCTACTGAGCCCAACCTCAGCTGCCTTCTAGGTGGGACGAAGTGTGGACCACCAGCTCACTTGTGCTCTTTCACACACGTCATGCTGGTGTGCCCATTGTGGGCCCTGTGCTGGGTGCTTGTTACGCAGCAGTGAGTAAAGGAGGTGTACTCTCGGCTCCAGAGCTGATGAGTGTGCACACACACACCGGCCAGTCTGCCAGGGCACACTCAGTACCAGGGTCACCCTCCACTTGTGCTGGTGCCAAGGCCCTCTGCTCACAGGACAGTTCCTGTCAGCAACCCAGCTGCCTTGGTACCTTGACTTGGGAGGGAAAGGGAAACAGGCATCTCTGTATCAAAGGTGCCCAGCCTTGCCCAGCAGCTAGGCCCACAAACAGGCATTGTGCACCAGCAGCTCTGACCTCCAGATTGATGGAGAAATTCTCTCTGTCTGTCTGTCTGTCTGTCTGTCTCTCTCTCCAGGGTCTCACTATGTAGTTCAGGCTAGCGTTGAACTCACTTTGTAGCCCAGGCTGGTCTTAAACTCACAGCAATCGTCCTGCCTCAGCCTCCTGAGTGCTGGGATTACAGGAATGCACCACTGTGCCTGGCTTGATTGAAAGATTCTCCTTGCAGCCCAAGGCAAGGGTTTGGGCTGCAAGAACAAGAATCCCACCTGAGGCTGCTTCTCATCAGACTCAGCAATGGCTTGCAATGAGGGTCCTAGCCTTTCCACCCGTATTGGCCCTGATCAGAGCACAGGACTAGCAGGGTCTGCTGGTCTTCTGGAAACAATGCAAAGTCTCTCTCCCTATTCTGTAAACATTCAGGGTCTAGGACTGTAATTAACACTACGTGTTTTGAACCATTAGTATAGTATATAATTTCATCTTGTGCCTAATAAAGCAGAGTCATGAAATAACTTTTATTTCTCCAAGAGATTTCTTCTACCTTCTCCTACCATCTCTTACGGCGCATCACGCCGCGTCTTTTCCCTACTTCAAAACAATAAAGGCCGTTCGGTCTGAACCCCAGATGAGAGGTTTGTGAGAATAGACCCCCTGCTGCCCTGGGGTATCCCTGCACTCTTTGTTTCTTCTGTAAGCGCAGTGTCGCAGCTGGAGGACTTTCTGAGTCAAAGTGGCTAACGTAAGGCCTGGGGGTGCAGCTCAGTGATGAGAGTGTCTAGTATGCACAAGGCCCTGGATTCAGTCCCCAGTACTGAAAAAAAAGGGACAGAAGCAAAAAAAAAAAAAAAAAAAAAAAAAAAAATTTTACAGGAAGCAATGAATAGTGTGGACATCAGGGCTGGTAACTTCCACACTGTTGACAAGGTACCAGCTCTCCTGCCTCCTTCTGTCCTTTGCTCAGTTGTCCCTGGAGACAGCTGGCACAATAGCCTCAGCAGTCATGTGTGTCACAGGAAAAAGGAAGGTGGCACTGTAGTCCTCAAAAACCGCTCTGCAGTCAGACTGCCCTAAGTTAAATACTGGCTCCAAGTCAGGTATGGTGGCACATGCCTGTAATCTTAGCCTCTGCAAGGCTGAGGCAGGAGGATCGAAAGTTTTGAGTCCAGACTGGGCAATTTAGTTACTTAGACCTTGTCTCAAAATAATAATTAAAAAGGCTGATGATATTCAGTCTTTAGTACTACACACACACACACACACACACACACACACACACACACACATAATCCTGGCTCCAGCATGATCCTGGTTCTAGCATTTACTTGCTGTTTGATACTCTGAAAGCTTAGCTACTCTGTGTCCTCAGATCCTGCTTCTCTGAAGCGGGTGGGTAACTACCTACTTCATGAGACTTGAATGAGGTGTTCGATGTGAAGCATTCAGAACAAGTAGTACCTGGCATCATAAGCCTGCAAGAGAGTCAGTTGTTGTCTCCATAACTCTTTCATGGCCTGGGAAGTTTTCCAGAAAATATCCCTGACATACTTTCCCATGTACCCCATCAACCACCATGGGTCACATGCCCCTTCCATTGCAATCATAGACCAGGGGAACCTACTTGCACTGGGTGACCCTGATGTCTTCTCCCCAGTAGGCAATGCCACCACTCCATGTGGTTCCAAAAGGCAGCAAGAGAGGGTAAAACACACTGGGTTTGGGATACTTCTCAGTGGTGGAGCCTTTCGCCTGGCATTCATGAGGCCTTGGGTTCCATCCTCAGTGTCACAATGTGTGTGTGTATGTATATATGTATATACATTTGATCAAATAAAATGACCACTGTGTACCTAAAACTGGCCCTGTAGGTCACATGCTCCTGGGAAAAGTGCTTGGTGCTCTGGGCCTCCTGCTGGTCGCCCTCTATGTATCTAGGCCCTCCAGTCTTCAAGGCTGGAGCTGGAGACTCTTTTGGCCCTTGGCAGAGTGGCCTGCCCTGCCTTGTGCTGCTGCTGACGTCCCTGGCAGGTTTCCAAAGTACAGTTGGTTGGTGACTCCATCCCTCCCTGGGTGCTTGTTTCAAATGTAGGTCTCTGATCCTCCCCAGACCTGGGTCAGAACATGAGGCCTTGCATCTTCACACAAGAGAGGACCTCTGTGTGGGGAGACCTGACTCCTTGGGGACTCAAAGCTTGTTTCTGCTTTGTGGAGTTTGACTCCAAGCTAGTGTGAAATGGGTACTTAACCTATGTGCCTAGGAAGCTGGGATGGGCCCCTGGGTGTGGGCCCATCCTGGCAGCAGCCAGCTTCCAGAGAAAGGGGCACAGCCTCACCCTCCTCCTCTCATCTCTTCCCTGACTTTTTAAAGACAAGTCCTCCATCTGTAGTCTAGGCTGGCTTCAAACTCTCAGTGATCCTCTGTCTCAGCCTCCTGAGTGCTGGGATTACAGGCGTGCACCACCAAGCCCAGCTCTCTTACCTAACTTTCTGGTTCTTCATAGCATTTAATGCCAGTAGGTGGGACATTGTCTATGTTTGGGTGAGCTTCCCAGGACCTGGGACTTCCACAGTTTATTGTTCCTGTCTCCCCAGCTCCTAGAAATGCACCTTGTACACAGGAGTGCTTAGTAAATGTTTGCAGAATGAGTGAATGAAACCGGCAGCTGGGCAGAGCTTGTATGCCCAGAGCAAAGCCAGTACCCTCATTAGGGATGCTATGTTTACTGAACTCAGCACATGGCAGGCATGATCACACTTGCCACGGGGTCACCTGTCTCCAGCATGATCCCAGCTGTCTCCCCAGGGGATATCCATGCCCTGTGCAGGGAGGTGTCCCCCCCCCCCACCGCCGCAACCAATTGGGTGAAAGTAATGGAGTGTGTCTTTTAAGGCTAGGCCATGTAGTATGTTGTGGCTTCTGCCTTGTGCTCCAGGCACTTCTGCCATGAAGCGAAGGGCGCCCTGTGGAGCCCTGTGTACATGTGGCAAGGAGCTGAGGTATTCAGAAAATACCCCGCAGCCAGCAGGCACACAAGCAGGGGGCAGCCTTTCGGGGGAGGGTAAGCCAGGTCCACATCCTGACTGCAGCCTGGGAGGCCCTGAGCCACAGCTGCCTAGGAAGCTGCGCCCCAGGGCCCAGCCTGAGGAACTAGGTAAGAGCCTGTGTATTCACTGTTGTTTTAGGCTGTTAATTTTGGGGTAATTTGTTACTTGTCTGGAGCTGCCAGCTAGTGATCTTCACATGTGCAGAGCCCAGAGCACGAAGCCCCAGGATTGCCCTGGGGGCATGAAGCACCGAGGGTGAACAGGTGTGCCAGCCCTGAAAGCTCGGGTGTGAGAGGTGAGCTAGTTGTTAGGCAAAGGGATTCCACCTGACCTCAGCTTTTTGTATATTGTCTCTTTATTTCTCCATCCTCTCGCCATCCTTCCCCGCCACCACAGCTTTGAGAGCTGCGCTGGACATGGCAGTTACACATCCAGAACTGATCATTCGTAGAGATCCTCACAATAGTCTATGAGGGAGGACCTATCACAGCTACTCTTGTACAGAGGAAGAGCCTACTGCTCGAGCAGAAGTGTGTCCAAGCTGAATGCCAGCTCAGCTCCTGAAGGACCAGAGGGGCTAAGGCCAGGGAAGCTGAAAGAACACATCTGCCCCAATATAACTTGTGCCTCAGGGCTGACAGGAGCTCAACTAGGACAGACCGCCAGGGTCTGCAGGAGAAAACAAAGCCAAAGAAACAGATATGCTCAGAGTTGGCATGTACTGATCTGCCACAGATTATAAAACAAAAATGTTTGCTGTTTAAATAACGTGCTAGAAACTATTGTGAAAGTACAGGGGATTATATCAAGTGACATTGGATTTTTTTTTTTTTTTTTTTTTTTTGTCTTTTTCAGACAGGGTCTTGCTCTGCAGTTCAGGCTGGCCTTGAGCTTACTTTGTAGCCCAGGCTGGTCTGGAACTCTCAGCAATCCTCCTGCCCCAGCCTTCCGTGTGGCTTTGGGATTTCATTCTTGATAAGATACTTTTACTGAAGATTGCTGGTTTTTCAGTCCTTTGAAAAAGGCATTCTGCTGGGCGTGGTGGCGCATGCCTATAATCCTAGCACTCAGGAGGCGGAGGCAGGAGGATCGTGGAGAGTTCAAGATCAGCCTGGGCTACAAAGAAAGAAAATGCATTCATTCATTGTCTTCTAGGTTTCGTGATAGCTGTTGAAACATAAGCTTTTGATCTGTTTTTTTGTTTGTTTGTTTATTTGTTTTTGCTGAACTGGGGACTGAATCCAGGGACTTCACACTGAACTATATCCTCAGAGCTTTTTTATTTTTTACTTTAAAATAAGTTGCTAAATTGGACAGGGTGGAGTCAAGCTTGCAATCTTCCTGTCTCAGCCTCCCAGAGTGTTTAGATCATAGACATGTGCCACCATGCCCTGCCAGCATTTTAAAATTTTGGTTATTGTATTTATTTGTTTTTAAAATTCTGATAGGAGCTGGGTGTGGTGGTGCATACCTGTAATCCTAGCACTCAGGAGGCTAAAGCAGGAGGATTGAAATTTCAGCCTAGCCTACATAGTGAGACCCTGTCTCAAAAAAACCAAACCAAACCAAACCAACCAACAAATCAACCAACCAAACAAACAAAAAATTGAATGAAATCTCTGTGGTCATTCAGAGGTGAAGCATGTCCGTAATCCTAGCAGTCTGGGAGGCTGAGGCAGGAGAACTGAAAATTTATATCCAGCCTGGCTACGGAGTGAGACCCTATAAGAACAAAGAATGTCTCTCCAGAAGATTCTCCCCATGGAAAATTCAGAAACAGCAGTTCCCAAACTTAGCTGACTTATTCCAGATACTGGCCCCCGACGGATGGGGCTTGGAGGGCTGGTCAAAGATGAACAATGAGGTTGGGGAGCAGCTGGCAGAGTTCAGGAAGACTCTGGCTTTTACTAGGAGTGAGACGGGAGTATTTCAGTTGGGGTGACACGGGTTTTATTGCTTACTTATTGCACTGGGGAATCAACTCAGGGACTTCAAATTGAGCTACAACTCCAGTCTTTTTTTTTTTTTTTTTGGTTGTTATTTTTTCGGTATTGGGAATCGAACTCACGACCTTGCGCTTGCCAGGCAGGCACTGTGCCGCTGAGCTGAATCTCCAGCCCCTCCTTTTTCTTTCCTGAGACAGGATTTCGCTACGCAGTTCAGGCTGGCCTCGAACTTGCTGTGATCCTCCTACCTCAGCCTCCCGAATGCTGGGATTATAGGCGTGCGCCACCACGCGAGACACCAGTTTTTATTTTGAGACACAGTCTCACTGTAGCTCAGGCTGTGCTTGAATTTTAGACCTCCAGCCTTAGCTGCCCCTAGGGCTGCGATTTAAGGCATACACCATCAAGACAGGCACTTTGTAATACGACACTCTGGCACCTCGGCGAAAATGCCCTGGGAAAGAAGAGTGCAAAACAGAAGCAAAGAGCCCGAAGAGGAGGCTGGTTCCGGGCCCCAGACGACGGAGAACTGATGGAGGCGCAACGGATGCCGCAGAGGTGATAGCTGGGGATCTGCTCTGCAGGAGGAGCCCACAGGATCTGGACCTGCGGAATCAGTGGAAGAAAAACGGGGTGGAAGGCTGGAGGATGCAAAAGGCTCCCAGCCTTTGCCGGGGAGTGCAAACCTTATCAACGGATAAAGAAACAGTGGAGGGTGATCGCCTAAGAGCAGCCTCTGCCCTGCTTAGGAGCAAGTTCCCGGGCCTGCCAGGCCTGCACTCAGCGCCTCCCAGACCGCCTTGGGCAGAGCCTAAATACAGCCTTCGTTTCCTCCTCTGTAAAAGGACCCCAGGGCCAGGCCTGCCCACCGGTGCGCCGGGGCCTGGGGTGAACGAGTGCGGACCTGGTTCGTAGGGGAGCTCCGTACCCAGAGTCCCAGCTGGTGCAACTCCCCTTCAGCCGGCCCCGCCGCCTGCTGTCCCGGCCCCGCCGCCTGCTGTCCC